TAATATTATGTTGGTATAAGAATTATGATGAATATATTTATGTATTTGAAAATATTTATATTTTCTTATGTAAGAAAGACAAAAGAGGAAAAGCAAGAGCATTTCTTTTTTTTTAAAGAGAAAAAATAAAACAAAATTTCAAAACAAGATAAAGGAGGGTAACAATGGTTAATGCATTGCATTGTGTTATCTTTAAATTAGTTACTCAGAATACAAGATATTAGCATTTAATTGTCTCCACACAATATTAACACAAACCTTTCTTTTCAATAAATTAAGAGAGATTTGTAGTATAACTATCATATATGTATTTGTGTGTGTGTGTATGTGCGCACGTGCGCACGCTTTTTGCTTTTCCTTTCCTTCTTTTCTCCTTTCCTTCATCCCAGGTTCTCTTTCCTTTTGAATTATTCCTTCCCATTTTACAATGTCTATTATACATTTTGGACCTTATTTACTCTTTCAGCTTCTCACACTAGGGAGACAATACAGTGTTTGCACATGTGCTTGTGGTTTATTTCATTTATTAGTATGGTCTTGAGTTGCATCCATTTACCTATAAAAGTCTCCAGTTTATCCTTCTTTATGTCTGGGTAGTACTCCATTGTATAAAAATACCACATCTTTTTTATTCATTCCTCGATTGATGGGCATTTGGGCTGTTTCCAAGATCCAGCTATTACAAATTATGCTGCTATAAACATGGGTGCACATATATCACTGTGGTATGATGTTTTTAATTCTTCTGAGAAGATACCCAGCAGGGGAATAGGTAGGTCAAATGGGGCCTCCAATCCTAGTTTTCTGAGGAATTTTTACACTGATTTCCACAGTGTTTGCACGAGTCTACACTCCCACCCACAGTGGAGAAGGGTACCTTTTCCCGCACAACCCCTCCAGCATTTGTTATTGGTTGATTTCTTGATGATAGCCATTCTTTCTGGGGTGAGATGGAATCTCAGTGTTGTTTTAATTTGCAACTCTTGAATGACTAGTGATGCTGAACATTTTTTTCCTATATTTGTTTGCCATTTGTATTTTTTCATCTGAGAAGTGTGTATTTATCTCAGATGCCCATTTTTGGATTCGGTCTTTAAATTTGGGATGTCTGATTTTTTTGAATGTTTCTATGCTCTAGTTAGTAATCCTTTGTCTAAGGAACAGCTGGAAAAAAATTTTTCATACAGTGTGTGTTGTCTCTTCACTCTGTCGGTGGTTCCTCTTGCTCTGCAAAAGCTTTTTAATAAGGTGAGATCCCAGTTGTTCTTTGTGATAGTTCCTGTGAGATCAGGGTTTTATTCATACAGTCTTTGCCTACACTAATGTCTTCAAGGATTTTATTTATTCTATCTTCCAGCAGGCTTAATGTTTCTGTTTTAATATTTAGATATTTAATCCATTTTGAATTTAGTTTAGTACCTGGTGAAAGATATGTGTCCAATTTTAATCTTTGGCATGTGCAGAACCAGTTTCTCCAGCACCATTTATTAAAGAGGCTATCCTTCTTCCAGTGAATTTGTTCGGCACCTTTGTCAAATATAGGATGGCTGGGTATGTCTAGTGTTGTTTCTGCATCTTCTAATCTGCCCATTAATCTTCAGGTCTTTTTTTTGCCAGTACCATGCTGTTTTTATCACAGTAGCTTTATAGTATAATTGCAGGTCACGGCTGTGATGCCCCCTGCCTTGCCTTGTTGCCCAGAATTGCCTTTGCTATTCTAGGTCTCTTCTGGTTCCAAATGAATTGTAGAGTTGTTTTCTCTAATTCTGTGAGATATGCTATTGGAATTTTGATTGGAATTGCATTAAATCTGTAAAACAGTTTTGAAAGCTTGGCCATTTTCACTATACTGGTTCTTCCTACCTAAGAGCAATAGATAGCTTTCCATTTTCTTGGTTATCTTCCAATCTCCTTTTTCAAAGTACTGTAGTTTTCAATGTAGAGGTCCTTTACATCCTTCGTTAAATTGATTCCTAGGTTATTTCAATTTATTTGGATGCTATTATGAAAGGTGTTATTTCCCTAATTTCTCTCTCAGTGAATTTATTATTAATGTGTAGGTAGGCTACTGATTTTTCTTTCTTTCTTTTTTTTCCGGTACTGGGAATCGAACTCACGACCTTGTGCTTGCCAGGCAGGCATTGTGCTGCTGAGCTAAATCCCCAGCCCTGGCTATTGATTTTTGAGTATTGACTTCAGAAACTAAGTTTTAATGTGGCACACTTATCCATCTTTCTGAGATAGCTAGTGTTTTTCTGTTATAGCTAGTGTTTTTTGGATTAATTTAAGAGGTCCAAGGGGTCAGGGGCATAGCTCAGTGGCACAGCACCTGCCTGGCAAGTGCGAGGTGCTGAGTTTAATTCCCAGTACCAAAAAAATAAAATAAAATAAAATAAAAAAAGTCTGTCCTCTGTCCTCTACTTTTGAGGTTGTAGCTGTATGCTCTTATGTTATCTTTAAAAACAAAACAGCCAATGCTTTATTATTTTGCCTTTCAAATTTGCGTATAATTTACCTGGAACTAATTTCTTGTGTGTAACATGAAGAGTCCAATTTCACTTTTTACCCCCCATTATAGGGCTATTTTTTCAGCATCAATTATTGATTTTTTTTTTTCCCAGTAGCGGGAATCGAACTCACGACCTTGCACTTGCCAGGCAGGCACTGTGCCGCTGAGTGAAATCCCCGGCCCCCATCAATTTTTTTTTGTTTTTTTTGTTTTTTTTCCGGTACCGGGAACCGAACTCACAACCTTGCGCTTGCCAGGCAGGCGCTTTTGCCGCTGAGCTAAATCCCCAGCCCCCCCATCAATTATTGGTTGAAACTTGTTCTTTAGTCATTGCTTGGCACTGCCACTATGATGACATAGCCAAGTTTGCATGTATGAGTGAAGCTTTCTGGCCTCTATGTTTTGTTTCATTGGTACAGGTATGTTCTCTTTCATTGATATATTTGATCCAATACCATTCTGCCATACTTACTATGGCCTTATAACAACACTTGATATTTGATAGCACAAATCTTTCTCTCCTTTCCTCCTCTTTTCCTTATTTCTTTTATCAATGATTGTTTTGCTCTTCCATAAAGTTTTAAATAAGCTTGTGAAGTTTCTCTATCTCTCACACAGAAAAATTCTATCAAGCATTTGTCTAGATTTGGAGAGACTTAATATCTTCAGCATTCACTTTTCCAATCTATGGACATGTTATAGTATGAATTATTTAGGTCTTCCTTGGAGTCTTTCAATGTTTTCTTCATACATTTGCCTTTCTTTGATTTAGTCCCAGGCACTTGATATTTGAAGATACTACAAATTGTATCTTTTAAAAATTAATTATATTTTTTCTGGCCTATAGAAATATATTTTTTTGTTTGTTTTTGATAGTACTAGGTATTGAAACCAGGGCCTCTTGCAGGATAGGGAAACATATCCAAGAAGATATAGTCACAGTCCTTTTTATTTTGATACTGAATTTCACTAAGTTGACCAGGCTGGCTTTGAATTTGTAATCCTCCTCTGCCTCTGCCTCCCCAGTCCCTAGGATGACAACTGTCTCAGTTACTTTTCTCTTATTGCTGGGACAGAATACCTGTTTTGAGTGCCAGAAATTAGGGAAGGAAAGTTTATTTAGCTCACAGTTTGTGGAGGTTTCAGTCCATACTGGGCTGGCTCCAAGGCAGAGTAGCATATGGCAGCAGGCAGAAAACAGCAAAGGCAGGAAGAGCATAACGGGAGGAGTGGCAGAGAGCAAGCCTGTTTCTGTCCCTTACAATGTGTGCAAACTACCTGCCCCAGGGCAAATGTAACACTCACACCCATAACCCCAGCATTAGACCATGAATCAGTCATAAACTCTAGAAGCCTGCCCCATGACTGCATGAGGCTTTGGGGGGACATCCAGACACAAACCATAACAACAGCCATGAGCTACCAGGTTTGGCCTGAATTTTTAAAAGTATTTATTTACTTATTGGTGCTATGTATCTATACCAGGGCCATGTGTACACTAGACAAGTGCTCTACTACTGAGCTAAACTGCAAGCCTAGATTTTTAAAAATCTATTAACTTTAATTGTAACAATTTATCTGTAGATTCTTTTCAGTTGGGCATGTACATGAATATATCATGTTTAAAGAGAATAATTATGTTTCTCCCTCTTTAATCTTCAGTCCTTTTGCTTTTCTTGCCTTACTCCATTGGCTAACAACCTTCACTGGCAATAATGGACCCACGTGCATATTTAACTTCCACCTTAAGTCAATAATTGCATTGGGAGGTTTGGTTCGCGGATAGTAGGTTGGGAAAACGACACCAGCGCCCTCCTGTCTGCACCTGCAGGAAGTTAGCGCAGAGGTGGGCCTCTTTCATCTTCCCTTTTGATCTGGAGGGAGGAGCCGACCTCCCTACTCCGGTTGCCAGGCAACGGCGTCGCGCCGACCCGGAGTAGGAATGGGCCTGCCGGGAGCACGTGCCACCGCCTCCCTCCTGGACTACATCCCCCACAATGCCGCGCGGCTCGAGTGCCGGCCCGGAGTGGGGGAAGGGCCGGGCCGTGCCGGGAGGCGGAGCGGAAGCGGAGTGCCAGGGGCGAGGAGAGTACAATCTCCACGCGCCGGGAGCCAACCTCGTCCTGATTCCCAAGCCCCGGCCTCTCTCCGTCCCGACCCGCAGGCTGCTTCTGGAGCGCCAGACGCCGCTGGCGCCCGCTCCTCGGCTTTGGCTGCGCCGCTCGGGCTCGGGAGCCCGGCGGTGGCGGCGACCACGACAGGAAGCCCACAGGCAAGGGGCTGAGGGGCGCGGGAGCGGGGGAGGGGGCGTCTCCGCGGT